TTGGCCCGTCATTGATACGTTTATTGAAAGTGAAAGACCAATTGGAAGAAGAGATTTTAATGTATGAAAATATTTTAAAATAGGTGAAGATGGGTGGAGGTTGGGGAGGTGGAAGCAGACTAAAATTTCAATGTACTTTCCAAAAGAAACAAAAAAAAAAAAAAACACCTAAGACTCCTGTTCTCCTAACACAGAGGTCAGCTCCTTTTTGGAGCAGGCCAGAAATCTATGCAGTGTCTCAGATGAGAGCCATGATATAAAATGTACTAGAATTTTTACTGCAAGAATAACAGGATAACAAATAAAGGAATCAGCAAAAAATGCAAATTCCTTACTACGGTCCAATTGGCAGGCCAGACAAAAATCCTTTACACACTGGATGTGGCCCAGGGTTTGCCAACCCCTGTTCCAAACCATGGGAAGAAAATGCATGAATAAGTAAACAAATATACTGTAAACAGGATTCATTTATTTTTTCTGTGCTGTAATTTTACCCCTTGTTATTGGGAAGCTGTGTTCCAATTCCTGTTCACATTATTCACTTATGCACAAATACCCTTGCGACAGTTATGGCTCTACCTCTTCTCCCCTCCAGCTATGGGTTAATTAGTAGGACTTGTATCAGTAAAACCTTATTATGTCCCCAAAATTCTTACAATCCTAAAAATATTTCCTGGCTTTAAATAACCTGCAAAGAGGTTGATAGACCATAAAAAACAAATCAATCAACCAGTTGTATGTTTCCCCATGCTTTCCAAACTGACTCCTCCAGCCAAGCTCTATCTTGACAAGAGCCACATCAGACTGAAAATGGAATATTGTCGTCATATCTGGATTGGAACTAACCAATCCTCTTTTTCCAGCCTGGATAGGTTTTTTTTTAATGATTTCACCCCATGCAAGGTCATAAAGCCCCTAAGATGGGGGAGGGGGTTTACTGACAGTGAAATAAAATGAGAAAACAGTGAAAAGAAAGGACAATAAGAGCAGGTTTCTTGAAGACAGATGATGGCGATTGACATTGCATTTCGACTTTTAAAGATCATAGGTGACAAAGAAGCAAGAAACTGAAAGACCGTTCCATAGGCGAGAAGTTAAAAAAACTGTTAGAATAAAATTTACAGGTACATCTAGCTATTTTAACATGATGAGACCTAGTTGCTAATCTAGTACTACACTTAAATTCATATGGCCATAGTAGCAAAGAGGAGAGATCCTTAGAACAATTGCCATGAAAATATTTTTAGAAAAGACACAGGGAAGTCATATCATGGTGGTGGGGAAGTGACTGAAGTTGAGATGCCAGATCAGGACTGATAGCATTGCAGACCCTTTAGATTTTGTCAAGAATCTTGAGATGTCTATTGGGGCACCAGATCAGATGTGGCAGCCATATTCAACACATGGATGAATGGTTGACTTATAAACGTGCAAAAAGAAATTGTCTGGCATGAACCAACTTCTCTAGCAGCAGATGATTCAATACAATAATTCTGCTTCATGTCAGTGGAAAATGTGAGACCAAAAAATCACAAGGAGTTACTCTCCTGGAGGTCAGCATCAGCCATACAGATGGCAGCCAGAAATAGCTCTCTAAGATGACTAACAAAACAGCAGTTTGGTTTTGGAGGTGTTAAAATTAACAGGCCTGAGTTAACTGATTGAAGGTCATGTGTCAGATCAACTGCCAGTTTTTATTTTGTCAAACCAATTGGTGTACTATTAAGACAGGAGTAAATAGTTATGTCATCAACATTGTAGAGTCATTGACAATGGTTAAATGCAATTGGCAGAACTGCCTGATAAACAAAATCAACAAAGTTTGCAATAAACAAAAACAAAAGACAAGAACAGGGCACAAAATATTATAAAGCAAACAAACAATATATACAAGGCAAAGCAACAGTAATATGGCAAAAAGTTCACAAATTAAGAATTGGGGTTGACACACAAACAAATTCAGATAAGTGAATACAGCATTCTGACTTCAAGACTAGACAGACAGGGATTGAGTCACATGAAACAGAGAACTGTCTATTTTATTGACTAGGAAAAAATCCCAGCATGCATTTGTGTGGTCTTTATTTGAGGCCACACATATCTGTGTGTGACTAGCTTATTGAAACATTAGGATCAGAATGAGACAATTTATGCAGAGTGAAGAAGTGTGTCTGCCATAATGTTTCTGGAACAAAGGGGTTTAAGCACTCTGTGATGATGCCACACACAATCTTGAAATGTGTTCAGGATCCACATCTTCAAAAATTTTACAGATTTTGAGTTATTTCAAAGAAACTTTTGAAGTAGTTGGTCTTTGGATTGTTCTTCCACCATTGACTGGTATTCCATACATGGATCTAGCAGGAAAGCAATAATACCACTGGACATGGTGTCTGCAAGGATGTTTTTGGTTCCTTTGACAAAATGTATATCTGCTGTAAACTGCATCAGATGTCTGGTTTCACATGATGCATATTTGTCCTATGTTGACTGGAACACCCCAAGTAAGGGTTTGTGGTTTGTGAATATGTGGAAAGTTTGCTCTTTCAACAAATGTCAAAAATAGTGAGCCACTGCATAAGCTGCCAAGAGCTCCCGTCTGAATGTGCTGTACTCGACTTCTGTTGAGGGGGACAGTTTTCTAGAGAAAAAAGAAATTGGTTTCCACTGGGCATTGATTTTTTACTGCAATGCAGCACCAACACCAATAGAAGAGGTGTTGACTGAAAAACACAGCATATATATATATATATATATATTAAGACATTTTTAATTTTATATGTTCTTTTTATAGATACAAATATTTAAGTAAATGCTGTTTATAATAAACAGTATTAACAGCGTTTACCGGCCTAAATGTCTGAAAAATTTTCAAAGAAAATATGCGTCTTCCGACAGGAATCGAACCTGTATCCTATACGGAACCATCATATAGCCTGACATGCTTTTACCGATTGAGCCACAGAAGAGCATTTTGGTTAGCAAGGTCAATTTTACTGTTTTTAAACTACAATTCTCCATGATTTTCTCTCATACATTCATATCTGCTCGATGTGTATCCAAATGACGTTACACATTATGAAGCATTAAAAGCACATCAGGCTATATGACAGGTTCAATTCCTGTCGGGGGATGCATATTTTTTGTGAAAATTTCTCGGACATTCAGGCCAGTAAATGTCATTAATACTGTTTATTATAAATAGAGCATTTACTTAAATATTTTTATCTATAAAAAGAATGTATGAACATAAAAAATGTCTTAAAATAATTGTCGAACTTTGTCCATTTCATAATATATATATATATATATATATATATATTATGGAACTGTGTTGTAGAGTGAGTGGCCATGGTTG